AAGTCCAAGACGTAGGTAGATGAACAATATTGAAATGAATCTCAGATAGGATGGGATGGTATGGATTGATCTGATTCATGCTAGGGTCCAGTGGATGGCTCTTGTGAACACAGTAATGAACCTTCGGGTTCCATAAAATGCTGGGAAGTTCTTGAGTAGCTACAGAATTTGCGGCTTCTCAAGAAGGGCTCAGCTCCGTGAGTGAGTGAGTGATGTACGTGGTGTGCATGTATGCAAATGCCTAAAGTGTGTTCATATTCTTTTTTCACACTTTCTTAAGATTTTAGTGTTACGACTGAGCAGCAGCTCAGGCGCTTAGGAGCCGGGTTCTCACACAGGCGGCCCTGGTTCAGTCTCAGGTCAGTGGTACTGATCCAGGTTTTCTCCCTGTCAATTGTCATTCAAGCATATGTCGCATTTCTCTCATCTCTCAGCCCGGGCTGATCCTGCATGAGGCCTGAGTACCGAGTCTCACCCCTCAATAAGAACAGCCTAAATGTGCCTTGGAGACTTCTACACGTTTAACCTCTTACAGTGCTGTAACGAGAATCCCGGCACAACTATACTCACAACGTGGCACACCGGCGTGCCCTGCAGCACATCGGTTCAGAAGCCATAATTTAATCCACCTTTCAAATTTTGAAAAGGATGTTTCATTAGGATATAAGTCGGCATGTTGCATTGTTTTCATTCCGGCTACTATTAAATCACGTTTGCCCCTATTTTAAAATTTACACACCCCTGCTTCGAGGTAGAGTGTGGTCTTAATCACCTAGTTTCGATTCCGGGACACCCACAGCAACCAACACATGCATGTGTGAGCTGTATTGTGTTAAAGATGCACTTTCAAATCTGTCACGTCAATACGATACACGCGCTGAAATGAGGTGAAAGGAACTGGCCAGAGAAAAGTGGCTTCAGGGGGGGAAATTAATAAAATGAAGACAAAAGCATTGCACTGTGGAGCCCCTACAGGGATGGGCAAGAGATATGAATCTATTCGAAGAACAGATATGTCCGTCTAGTGCATTCCACACCCACAGCAAGAATTGGAACAGTCCTGTTCTTCGCTCCACTTTGCTGATATTGGGTTCGAGGCTCGAATTGGGTAGTCAGTCATTCAGTTCAGGCGAATGAAAGATCCATTTTTTTTTTGCCTGCAATATTTTCTGACCGGTGAGCTACGTCACTGCGTATGGAAGTGATTAACAAATAATTCCTGGTAGCGAGTCCTTGACGAAGGAATAGTCGCGAAATTCCCAGACATTTATGAAACTCTAAGGCTCCTATCATCTTCACTAGACATTCCGCCACTTATCCTTACCCTGAGCCATAAATCTATGGATCCAGTTCATATCCCAGTTCACATCCTCATAAGCTATTCCTTAACACTGGCAGTGCCATAGTTCAGGCGGTTAAACCCCAACTTCTCACAGCGGCGACCCGAGTTAGTTCCCACGTCGTCATATCTGATTTGTGGTGGACAAAGTGGTACTGGAGTAGATTTTCTCCGCGTTCTTTGGATTCCCCTGCCAATTCTCATTCCACCGACTGCTCCACATTCGTCATAATCTGTCATCCAGGGCGGGTACAATAGACCAGTTAGTGGCCGACGTACCAAGTGGACTCCACCCCACACCACGAAACTATTCCCTAACATTCATTTTAAAAATGTTTTTTATACATGCCTGCGTCTTCCGACTAAAGTTTTGTATAAATATCTCATATGTATTGCGTACTACGTGTCTTACGCTTCCTCGCTCTAATAATGCTTGGTGAGGGGTAGAACTTTCAACTTCATCATGCAGTTTCCTCACTCTTGTCACTCCCTTCATCTCAGGACCTTTACAGATGCCCTGATTATGTTCTTCTCTAAGGCAAGAGACTAAGTTCCACACCAATACACAACAATAGGTAAAATATGTTCATGTAGGACAATATTGAAGAGACAGAGAGTAACCAAAAAAGCTGGTGTAGCTGTACTACTCTAGACTTGTACTCCAAAGGTATTCTGTTCAAATCTCGGACATTTTCGGCCACTTCGACCAAATTCCAGGGTAGGTACCTTGACTAACATTTCCTTCCAAATCCTATCCAGGTCATAGTCCACAAGTCGTTGTAATATTCGAAGCTATACAGTCTGACATTCTGAGAGTATTGTAAAGCAACCCACAATAAGACATTCATATGAACACGACTCTGTCTTCCGCAATCCTGAACTTCACTATATAGTTGCAAGTGAGTCACTGTATACTGCAGAAGTATCTGGCACCGTGCCACAAGGGCGTGTAACATAAGTGACTGGCACCTCCATGTTCCGGATGCCTGTAATGCCAGAATTCCACTGCTCAGTGTAGAAGATGCTGGAACGCATACAGCTATCGTGTACCAAACACTCCTGCTTTTTTATTTCTTTGGGAAGAACTCTGGTATCGACTTTATCCAAGATTCCGCTTGTCGTGACTAGGGACTTTTAGCGGTTTTCCTCACGAAAATGTAGAGGCAATACCCATAAATAGTCCACGATACGTTCCTTCCTCAGTCTTTCGAATTAATCATTTATAAACATCCTCTTATTTAAGGTTGAGACTCTGTCTTCCTAACACAAAAATCTCTATACAAGTTATTCTTAATGATTAAAACCGTTTAAATTAGAGAGAGATGTAGGACCATATGCTGTAGGGCTAACGGCAGGAAATAAGTTCACTGCAATTCACTTGTTTGTTCATCTTTCCCCGAGCATTTCACCTGAAACTTCAGCGTCTACATAGTTTCGAAAATCCACTGCAATCCCATACTCCCATTCGATGTTACATAAATGCCGCTCTTGATGAAACGTCTTTAAATAAACTGAGGAACTAAATATAGGATACTGGGCCTCGAACATGTTCTAGAAGTGGTAAACAGAAAATTATCAAAGCCTCTACCGAAAACTAACTTCTCAGCCAGTTATTTAATTTACGTTTAAACCTCTACCACTGGATACTTCATTATGTACATAACACTATAGGTCTCTCTGTTCGAGGCAATTTAATTTTATTAATTTGACGGCAAAGTATTGAAGATAGTGTCAGAAATGAACTAAGTAGAGATGCAGGGATTTTCAAAACGAAAAGCTTCATGTTTCATACCCTTCACATAGCAGTCTGAGGAGGTTCGATGTCACATCAGATCATGTGGGATTTGTGGTGGACGAACTGGCACCGGGGCACGTTTCTTCGAGTATCCGTTTCTCCCTACAAATTCCCATTCGCCCAACTGCTCCATATCGAATTCATCATTCTAGCATCGAGGCTATGGAGTCTAAATACTAACAGCGTCGTTAAATAACCAACTAAACTGCTAAGTTTGCTGTTATTTCCGCAGTAGCGTCTTCCTTTTTCTTCTTTATATACCCCGCCACTTGCCAGCAACCTACTCGTCTTACTTTTCTCCCGAATTCTCCCATCTCTCCACTTTGCAAATATGTTCCCTTTCAGGGTTGATACTAGCTATTCTGCTCCTTGCATCTTCCTCTACGTGGGGCAAGCGTTGGTATCCGCCTGCTACTTGCTGCTTACTTGACTTACTTTTCGACCCTGAAGATGGAGGCAGTGTTTTCCTCCGAAATATTGGCGAACTTTAATAAGATTAGATTGGGGGCACGCGGTAGCGTAGTTGGTTGAAGCACTATACTACAAGCCTGAAGGTCGCGGGTTCGAGTCCCGATGAGGTGGATTTTTTTTTCAGTTTACACAACCCTTCCAGCTGCACTATGGCCCTGGGATCGACTAGCCTATAATAGGAATGAGTACCAGGAATATTCCTGGGGGCAGGGGGCGGCCGGCGCTTAAGGCTGTCAACCTTACCGCCATCTGTGAGCCGATTGTCTAGGAAAAATGTGGGAACCTCGATGTCTCACAACCCTATGGGCCTCCACGGGCTGTTACAGGGATAGCTTTACCTTTCTTTTTACCTTTTATATGGGGTGACAACCCAGAATACAGTAATTATAATTCTGAAACTACTGTGTTGATTTAACTTATTCAGCAAGGCAGTGTCTTAGGCCCACTACTGTATTTACTGTATACAGCAGACCTACCAGTAAATGCCAACACAACAATGGGCACATTTGCGGATGATACCGTGATCCTCTCAGCCTACACAGATTCAGCAATAGCTACCTTCACTTTGCAAAATCATCTAAATCAAATACAAGAGTGGACAAATACATAGAAAATAAAACTCAACGAAACCAAGTCAGTGCAAGTAAACTTCAGTCTAAGAAGAGAATAATGTCCTGCAGTTTTCTTTAATAACATACAAATACCTGGATCTCCCAGCACAAAATACTTAGGTATTCATCTAGACAACCTTCTAACCTGGACGGAACACATTACTAAAAAACGCAAACAGATTGATTTAAAAATCAAGGATGTGCATTGGTTAATTGGAAGACATTCCAAGCTCTCATTAGACAACAAAATCTTACTTTACAAAACAATAATAAAACCAATATGGGTATATGGAGTGGAAGTATGGGGATGTGCTAGCAAAACCAGTATTTCCATAATCCAAAGATGTCAGTCAAAGATACTACGTAGGATTACCAACGCCCCTAGGTATGTTTCCAATATAACACTTCATGAAGACTTAAAAGTGCCGCTAGTATAGGAAGTCATAAAAGGGAAAAGCACAAGATACCTCAACAAAATGGGACATGAGAACGTACTAATTCAACCGTTACTGAAACCATACAATGGACGAAGACTAAAAAGGAATTGGCCAGCCGACTTGAGAGAGGGTTAACGAGGACTTATCTATGGATAAGCCCTCTCCACGTCAAGAAGAATACTACAGAAAATTAGCTTATAGAATCAAACGTAATTCTGATTGCTAATATTATGTAAATAAAAAAAAACTTATTCAAGAATCTGACATTTCTTGGTTCGCCTCCCCGATGCACCGCGAGATATTGGGGGAGGGGGGTGACATTAGGAATAACTGAAGTTGGTACTTACAGCGTCTTTTGTGCTGATGATTCGTGGAGAAGGGCCGTATCATTACTACTCGTGGAGAGAGCCACCCATCCGACCCCACGCGACCACGTGCTATTGATACTAACGCACGTGCAATAGTACTCTACTCTTCCATATTGAAACTGCCGGCAACCCAAACCGCGGGAAATATTATATACGGAGCTGCATTTGACGGGTGGGGTGGTGGAAACACGGTGACTGTGTCCTCAATACAGGCGATTGGCTAGCTGCTGGAGAGTCCAAGAAGAGGACTTACTAATTACTTCAAAAACATATACCTTCAAACAAGATTGCACGGCCATATTTTATTTTCATCATATTTACTTTGTAATTGCATTAATGGACACGTCTGTCCTCTGTTCGAAAGTAAATTTCAAGGCAATAATGTTGTATTTTAGCGTCCTGTTGCAATGATTTTCATCCATAATATGTATGAAATGGCCGTCTTGTAGTGCACTCAATTTCACATGTCACTTCTTACTACATGTTTCGGCAACATAGTGCCATCTTCAGGTTCGTTATTTACGCTAAGCTGTTACATTGTTTGCCATCTTGTGTCTTTCATAAAATCATTTAAGAAGTACATTATTCGTCAACTATAATAAAATTTGTATATACTAAAACTTGTTAAGATCATTCATCTATATGTCTTAATTCACACTCGCGTATNAAATTTTATTATGGTTGACGAAAAATGTGCTTTCTGGATAGTTTTATGAAAGACACAAAATGGCAAACAATGTAATAGCTTAGCGTAAGTGACGAACCTGAAAATGGCACTATGTTGCCGAAACATATAGTAAGAAGTGAAATATGACCAGTCTGCTTTTACCGGTTCTCACGGTCTCTTCGCTTGCGGATCTCTTATATTTTTCCTTCTACCCTGAAGATGGAGGTGATACGTTCCTCCGAAACGTCGGTTAACACCACATATACAAGGTGCCAAATCCCAGAAGATTGCTTTCTTCATAGTCACCGCCGTGAAAGCCTCAAATCATACAAGAAAGGAAGACACCTACTCAGTTGGGCCCCTTAGAAAGAACTAATCTAAATTCTAAGGGGCCCAACTGAGTAGGTGATTTCCTTTCTCACGTGAAGACGGAAACAGATCCAATTTCCGAAAGGCCGTGTCCTCTATTACCTAGAATTCCGGATGATGGAAAAATTCCAAAAACCCAGTAATTTTGTGTGTCATTCACCATCGTCAGAACCCTTTAGAATATACCAGAATCTGCCCAGAGGTACGGAGAAAACTCATGAAAACTGTCATGACCACTGTATTTCGGACAGAATATGGAACCAGAGAATTTCTGAATAAAAGACAAACGTGTTAGCCACTCAAAAGTGACTTTTCGTAAAAACTGAAGGAAATTTATAATAATGTTGATTATGCTTTTATGGTTTAATGAACGACACTGCCAGTAGCTCGAATGACAGGTTGAGAAGTGAATCATGAATTGGAGAGGATTTGGAAGGAAGCCGTCGTGACGTAACATACTATCTCAGGGCCGGCGAAACGACGAAAAGACTCAGGATAGCTAATGTCAAAGCCGAGACTTGAAAACATGACCCACTGAGTTCGAAACAGGACTGCTACTCATTCAACGGCAACATTCCGTATGATGATGATAATGATGATGACAAGAAGAAGAAGAAGAAAAAAAAGAATAGAAACCTGATGATCAGAAAGAAGAAAAATATTTCATTGTGTTTTAAATTTTTATGTATTATTTCTTAACGATGTTTCATCAACTGCAAGGCAATATAAACTTAAATATCATTGAATGGACTGCCTCTGTGGTCTAGTGGCCAGAGTTCCTGGCTACAGATCCTGAGGTCCAAGGTTAGATTCCCGGCGCTTCCATATTTTCTGAGAAGTAGTGGGTCTGGAACGGCGTCCACTCAGCCACGTGAGGATAACTGAGGAGCTATTTCAAGGAAATTGCGGCTCTGGCCTAGAAAACTGAGATTAACGGCCGTGGGTATTCGTTGCACTGACCATGTGTCACCCTCTATCCGCAAAAGTTGTCACTAACTTCGCCGACAAGCGGCGGTCGCTCGGTCGGTATAGTTCGCTTGCGGACTAAAACACGGAGTTTGTTTTTGTAGCACTGAATGAGAAACAACAAGAAGGTAATTAATTGAAACATAATGAGTGAGTAAAGAAAAGGTTGGAGTCACTTCTGAATCCGATATGAGTTTATATCATGTTTAGTAGTTTCAGGTTCCTCAGTTCGGACAGGAAAAATACGGACGTATTCGGTATGGTCAAATGTTTTCGGCTCAGATAATATAACATTTAAATACATACGCAAGATAGCATTAAGCAGAGGTGAATCTTGTATCAATCATAACTCAGTGTTGTTACATCACATGGCAATGTGGGCACATCCGAGTCGTAGTAACCTATATAATGCAACTCTCACCTACATATCGCAAGAATGTGGTCGATACAAGTTCTGAATCGATATTGCCAATTACAGAAACTCGTCAACTTATTCAGTCGATTCTTTCTTAATATGAGGAAGCCAACATTTCTTTGGAAATCGCTATATAACACAAAACCGGGTGGGACCCGACACGATGATAATTAGTTTCCTAATTTTTAGCCGAGCTACTTTCTTGAAAAACGTCTCAGTTCTTAGACTATAACAAAATCCCAGTATTGCTAGACCCATTTCTGTCACCACAAAACCTAAATGGATAATACACGTATTCTGAACCACTTCACATTTTCATATTTTATGTCACCAAGATCAATTTTGGGCAACGTTAGGTGGGCCCTTGCCACGGGGACCCCTCAGGTTGCGGTTGGAGGAAACGACCACCAGATATGGAGGGTAGCTGCGAATGTATTGAATAAGCAGTCGCAGACAGCCGAAAATAACTGGTCCTCCAGCTTTGAAGTTTTGCGTGGGGCTAACAGCTCCTCACCATAAAAAAACGTTTGTTACGAAATATCACAAAGGTCCTCGGAATTGGACGGATTCTTTGGATAAACAACCTAAGATAAGGAAAATGTATATGAGATTTGGTAGGTGGATTGTAAGATGTCTGTATATGGCAGGTTCGCTCATGACAGTTGCGAAAGAAGTATCAAAATATAAGTCAGATTTAGTGGAAGTAAGCGGCCTCCGTAGTCTATAGGTAACGTTCCCACCTCATGACTCGTGGTACGCGGGTTCAAACCCGGCGGAGATCGTCGAATTTTTAAGGGCGGAAAAATTCGGGGAACAAGTCCTCCAGGAGGGACTTCAAGCCGTGTGTGGCGTGTCGTAGCTTTACGGCACGTAAAAGAACCTCATATCTCCAAAGGAGGTCACTGAGCCAAATTTAAGGAAGTTTCCCGCCCAACAAGTAATCTCTAACACCTCTGATAGATGGGGGAAGCATTATAGATACCGCCAAGCTAGTGGAGGCCGAACTCGCTGGCTCGGTCGGGACTGATGGTACGCACCAATATCGGTAGGATATAGAGACTGGTAGAATATCATAGAGGGAAGCACAATGGACCAATACTGGTCTAAGTGCATGGGGAAACCCACCCTCTCTAATAACTAACTAACTAACTAGTGGAAGTACAGGAGGTCAGATGGGAGAGAGGTGGCACCGAACAAACAGGCGAATATATATTTCTCTACGGAAAGACGTGATAAAACTGATTGTAGTAATTATCGGGAGATATCACTGCTATCAACTATACATACAAAATTTTATCCAAAATTCATCTCTCAAGGGTAAGTCTATATGTTATTGGGGATCATCAGTGTGGGTTTCGACGTAACATATTAGCTAATGATCATATCTTTTGCATTCATCAGATACTGGAGAAAAAAAGGGGTGTACAACGAGACAGTACATCAGCAATTCATACACTTCAAGAAAGCCTATGATTCAGCTAGGAGAGAAGTATTCTACAATACATTCATAAACCTTTGGGTGCCCATGAATCTAGTTAGGCTCATTAAAATGTGTTCAAACGAAACGTGCGTTAAAGCCTGTATAGATAAATATTTGTCTGATAATTTTCGTATTGAAAATGGTCTAAAAAAAAGGAGATGCTTTATCGCCACTGTTTTTCAATTTAGAATATGCTGTAGAATATGCTATTAGGAAGGTCCAAGAAAACCAGGTGGGACTGAAATTAAATGGGACATATCAGTTGCTGGTCTATGCTGATGGTGTGAATCTATTGGGTGATAATATACAAATATAACAACATAAACAACATAAACTTTAATAGACGCTAGTAAGATGGTTGGTCTTCCTTCTTGCTGCTTTTTGGCACCAGGATACAGTGCAAAATCGTGACATAAACAAAGATAGCTAACAGATCCTTTGATAATGTGGCACAGTTCAGATATTCGGGAACGACTATAACAAATAAAAACCCGATTCAGGAGGAAATTAAGATGAGGCTGAATTCGGTTAGGCTTGATACCATTCAGTCAGGAACCTTTTGTCTTCTCGTCTGCTTTCTAAAAATATAAGAATTAGAAAACTATAATTTCACCTGTGGTTCTGTATGGGTGTGAAACTTGGTCTCTGATACTAAGGGAGGAACATAGACTGAGAGTGTTTGAGAACAGGGTGTTGAGGAGAATATTTGGACCGAAGCGAAAAATGAAGTGATAGGAGGTTGGAGAAAACTGCATAATGAGGAGCTTCATAACTTATACTCTTTGTGAAGTATAAACAGAAAAATCAAGTCAAGGAGGATGATATGAGATGGGCATGCAGCACGAATGGTGAGAACAGGAATGAATGTGCGATATTGATGGGAAAGTCAGAAGGAAAGAGACTACCAGGAAGACAAAGATGTTAGTGGGCGGATAATATTAAAATGGATCTCATAGAGAGTTAGGATGGGATAGTATGGACTGGATCGATGTTGCTGAGGATAGAGACCATTGGCAGGCTGTTGTGAACACGGCAATAAACTTTCGTGTTCCACAAAATTCTGGAAAGTTCTTGAGTAACTGCACAATTGGCGGATTCCCAAGAAGGGCTCAGACCCATGAATGAATGAATTGACCAAGAAAGGGTTATTAGGTCTGGCACATAGGTTGAATATAATTATATTCATAGATTCGTTTAAAGTTCATTTAACTGCNCTCTTCTGTCCCCAAGGTCATCCAGCATCTTCTTACGTCTTATTCCTCGTCTTATGGTTCGCATACATGGTCTCTCTGCTCTCTATATAGTAATATATAATATATTTAACATAATACAATATAAAATTACTTATAAAATATATCAGATTCCTATAAATTAACCTTAAACGTCTGTAGCGGTGTTTCCTTTAAAGCAGGCCTAACAAAATATTGTCATGGCTCGATCTTTAGAGCCTCCTTTGTAGAAATGGAATGTACAACAGGAAACCGAGGCGATCATTGAAGGGAAAGACGCTTTTAGAGGCGTGCTGAATCCCTTAAATCCTTATTCCTTAACCTATTCATGTGATGATGTAATAAGAAATTTACAATATAAAATGGGTAGGCTACACAAATTCAACATAATTGATTAATAATTATTATTATATACCAATTATGAATTTAATTTACGATGATTCATAAATTTCACCTGGATATTCGCAGAAATTATTTCGGATAAATCTATAATTAATTTAGTTTCGAAAAAGAGAAATCCAGCCAATTGCAATGTCAGAGTAATGAAATCCATTTCTGAAGATAGAACATAGACCACAATTTCGTCATCTTGCCATGTGGACCATCTGCTCCATTATTGTCTCTGACTCTTCTGTAATGAGACCTCAATCCGCAAAGCGTTCAATTACAAACGCCTGCCCAGATGGAAATAGTTGCAATTCGCTTCGATGAAGCAGTCTACACAGACTGGTACTACGGTTTCTATTTTGAAACTTCTCCATTATTTTAATTTGCCAGCTTCGTGCTTTACGAGTTTTTTTCCCTTGGCACTACAGCCCCAGTGGGCCTAGGCCTACCTCCATGAACTTCTCCGTTCACTTCGGTTTTTCTAGATCTTACACATTCGGTAGGACTCCTTGGACGGGTGATCAGCTCGTCGCAAGGCCTCCACCTGTACACAAACACAGAAAAACGCACACAGACATCCATGCCCTGAGTGGGATTCGAACCCACGATCCCGGTTTCCAAGCGAGCGAAGACAGTACATGCCTTAGACCGCTCGGCTACCGTGACCGGCAGTGTATAAGAATAATATATAAGAATTCAGTTCGTACCTCACAGGAAACAGATCCGAACCCACGATCCCGGTTTCCAAGCGAGCGAAGACAGTACATGCCTTAGACCACTCGGCTACCGTGACCGGCGATTTACGAGTTTGGCCTGGTCTATTTAGCGGCATTGCAATAATCGCCGAAGTTCTAACATTAAATTGGATATTAAGATGTGAGTTTTGAAGTCCTCAAGGCTGTAAATATGAATATTCCCGTCATCTGGCATGTGACTTCTTGTATTCTGTTGCGGTGTAATCTGCTTTCCTCAGCATCATGATATACGAGCGTTCAGAATGAGGGTACAGATACAGAAAATGAGGAAATGGACCATAGCTGCGAGCATTCAATAGGAGACAATCATCAGTAAAATTGCGGAAAGAGGGATTTCGGAGAAAAAAATTACGAAATAAAAATAATTTGAGGCGGAAAATATGTGGAAAAACCTGTATTAGATGCAAACATTATTACTTACGGGTATATAATTTTATTATGAAAGAAGTAAACGGGTTTTTATTATATTTTTGGAATTATAATATGTAGATTAGTTAACAAACTGTACCATAAAGTTAGCTTAGTTTTCCTAACGATGTGAATGGTGATGCCGTTTGGCCTTTTAAATGTATGAACGAATTTTTGTGTCATTTTTAAACAGGAAAATATGTACATTGCTAGGTTTCCTCCTGCCCCTTCTCCATGCTGAGTCTCTGTCATGGATCCGAAAAGAATAAAAATATCCTGAAGGAATTCGGTTATATCTTCAGAGATACCTTGGTCTCTTCTTTCTAGCTCAACTTTAGCAGTTCGCCGTGTTAGTTGGGCAACTTCTCCTGCATTGCAATGTTGCATAAAGCCTAACTTTAGGCATTAATTAACTCCTGTAAGTGAGACAAAATATAACATTGATTACAGGAAAAATAAATAAAATAAAATTGTAATTTGCGCTTATATAATTTGATAAAATATCTCCATCGTCTTCATGTATTTTTCGTTAACCTTCTTCTTTATATGCCAACAGCATATTCTCCCCTGAGCTAGTCGCTCCATCTTTTATGTGGTCTCCCGCAACTCTTTTTCCCTCCTCTAGCCACTGGGACAACCTTTTCAGGTATCACGCATGACATACGGTTGTTCCACTCGTTTCAGTTTTATACACCAACTCTTCAGTCTCCTTAGTGCCACAATGTTGCCATTGTATTCTCTTCTTCAACGGTAGAGGCTCATTTCCCTTGCTTTCTTTCTCACTGCATTCAATTTTGCTGTTTCTAGCTTGTTTCTATTAATTCAGTAATTCATGACACTTAAAAACGACTACAGAAATTCAGGAAATTCCACCTGGTTGAATGCTATCTAACCCCAGCTATTGAAATATGTAAAATTCCACCATTAGTTCAGCTAACTGGTGAGCGTTTCGTTGAATTACAAATATACACGTATAACATAATAATAATAAAAAGTAAAAGTAAAGCTATCCCTGTAAGAGGCCACGAAGGCCCATAGGGTTGTGAGACTTTAAGGGTCCCACATTATCTAGACAATCGGTTCAAAGATGGCGGTAAGGTTGTCAGCCTTACGCGCCGGCCGCGCTTTACTTCCCAGGAAAATTATGTAATTAATTCCTGGTGCTCATTTTTTGTTAGAGACCGAGTCGACCCCAGGGCCATAGTGCGGTTGGAAGGAAATCCAATGACCTCATCAGTATTTGAACCCGCGACCTTCCGACTTGTAGTGCCTTAACCACTATGCTACTGCGAACTTAGTTTGTACGGCTGTAAATGAATATCTCTATCTCATAAAATATTTATTGGTTTGCGGTAAATTAAACAATTATATTTCAATTTATTTTAAATCTTTCAAAAGGAATTATTTCTAACAACTTTCACAAGGAAATTAATTTTATATTCAGTCAGTTATCTTTAGAAGGGTTCTATCTTCTGAGATACAACGTCATGTAGTCCGTTGCTTGTTATCAGCATGTTTTCTTGTTTGGCTTACTTTGTAACCCTGAAAATGGATCTAATATGTTACTCCGAAACGTCGGCTGATTATCAGAAAACCACACGGCGTTATATCCCGCCGCTGTGAGAACTTCAGTTCATACAAATATCTCTTGTAAATATTTTTCTTAATTCACCATATACACGAAAATATAATAAAGTCAGAAGGATACTTCGGTTCTAAGCAACCGGTTTACTTTAGCGGCTTCTATTTCTGGAATGTAAGTTGTGATCAAAAAATAAAATACTGCGCTCTTGCTATCTACAGAACACACTAACCTAGCAGCCATTTTACCGTATCAAATTCAATATGGAGACGAATTACTTGAAACGTGCGTGGGAAGAAAAGAGCCCCTTACCCATTAAAAGAATAAAAAGATGCGAGAGTGAAATATTCACGGTACATTTGGTCACTGACGTCATAGAAACTTCATTGATGGACTCTATCCATAGGAAAATGGATTACTTCGATACAGATGAGCAAAGGAAATTGGGTTCTGTTGCGTTGTGCGCAGAATGGCTTCCATTTTGTAGAGATCGCCTGCTTTAGGCGACACGATGTGTGGTTGACGGAGATAAGAACCACTAACATGGTTATAGATCCCCCCAAGTGTGGAATAGACTACCGTTGATTACAAGCTAACAACCGTGCACACCACAATCTGCCCCCTGCATTTCGCATTGACTAGAAATTGAATTATGGGCACAACCCACATGTAGGCTATGCTCCTGAAAACGAACTTCCACCCGGTTGGAGTATTTTTAATTTAGCGTTTCTGAAATTAAACGAAAACCAAGTAAACATCATACATGCAAACAAATATGTCACAATTATTATTAAATCTCTGATTACTTCGAATTTTAAAAAAAATATAAGAATAAATGTAAAACTCTTATTTTGGTTAGAAATAGTTTCGCATTTAATGCACGTCAAAACTGAAAAGAAGACGAGCAGATTTCGTATAAATACCGGGAACCTTACTGGTGTAAATTCAGATTGTCTTCTGCTAGCAACAGCTGAAGAAGACTTGACAGTATTCCACCGACTTCCAGACCAACATATTGGCTTAGGCGTATACGGGTGAGTTATCAAGAGTACTGTACAGTGACTGCTTTGTTACGTCACTTCCTATCATTTACATTAGCTTGAAATTTTGAGGGCAGTAGGAATAATAGTGATGTAAAGAACAAAATATTTCAAAACTAGAAAGGTTTAGGAGCCGACCACGCATGAGCTGCTGGTAAGTTCTACTCTCTCATCGCATCCAGACATATCATAAAATGTTTAGTTCGTATGAAATAACTACTTACAATCAAAACATTCTTTTACTCTCGTAAATATTTAACTACATTCCTTTGAATCCCCAAGTAATACTGTTATAAAATAAAATTCTCAGCCCCACTCTTCACCCAATATTATTAGTGTAATTAAATCAAAGAGAATGATATAGGGAGACCATGCAGCGTACACGAAAATATCATAAGTCATTGGAAGTTTTGGTTGAAAATCCTCAAGGGAAAAGACCACTTGAGAGACCTCGTCATAGATGGGAGATAATATTAAAATTGATTGTAAGGAAACATGGCGTAAATGGATGGACTAATCATACCGGGTTCAGGATAGGGTCTAAATGCGGGATTTCTTGCACAGAACTATAAAACTTCTGGCTACATCAAAGTAGGATATTTCTTGACGAGTTGAAAAACTGCTATCTCTTCAAGGAACAGAGTTTTTTTTTTATAATTCGCTTAGTGGGGGGTGGAGTCCAATTGGGTCCACTCGGCACGGCGGCCACTGATTTTGTGGAATGAAAATTGGCAGGGGAAACCGAAGTACTCGGAGAAATCCCGCTCCAGCGCCACTTTGTCCACCACAAATCCTACTTGACCAGACCCGGGATGAACCCGGGACGCCGTGGTGGGAAGCCAGGAACTAACCGCTTGAGCTATGAGGGGGCCAACGAAGAGAGTTAGTTATGCTTTAACTAGTGATATTATGGAAATATATGTCCTCTTTAATAAAATAGTGCAATTTTCTCCATAACACGCGTAATATCATACATCCAGAACTCCGTCGCCATAGCCTTGTTTATGAAAAATGACGGTGACAGCGAAGTTTGCATTACCTCCCTCTTGGCATTATTCCTGTGCATCAGTGGTGGGATGCGCACGAAATATAACATACGACACACAATACGGATCTTCAAGCATCACATTGTGGGCTTACGGAGACACGGAGAAAAATCGTAAGGCATTCCTTCTTTCTCCTGCTAAAATTCGCAAAGAGAGCAAGTTTCAGTTCATCCTAGAAACTCTCCTGTTGTTCCCTTTACCTTGCTGGGTACTAGACGAAGGTGAGTGGGGCTCTTCGCGCTTCGGAAACTCTAATCCCCAGAAGAAATCTCGTATCACTCATGTGGCTGGGTGGGCTCCAATCCCATTTGCCCCGGTGGCGGTGATAAGAGTTTGCCGGTACAGTCGATAGTTGAACCACGTTCCGTCAGACTTATCCCACCTACTTATTAACCGAACCATTAGATTACCGCCTCTGTGGTCTAGTGGTCAGACTTCCTGGCTACAGGTCCAGAGGTTCGGGTTCGATTCCCGGCGCTATCAGATTTCTTTATGAGAAGTAGTGGGTCTGGAACGGGGTCCGCTCAGCGGAGGAGCTATTTGAAGGAAATAGCGGGTCTTGTCTAGAAAACCGAGATTAACGACCGTGGGGATTCGTTGAGCTGACCACGCGACACCCTCTATCCGCTAAATTTGGCACTAACTTCGCCGACAAGCGGCGGTCGCTCGGTTGGTATAGTTCGCTGGCGGACTAATACCACGGAGTTTTTTTGTTTATTTGTTTGTTATTAGATTCGTTAAGTTTTTGCTAACTGAGTCTAACAACATAAGCAAATATTTTATGTCGTTTTCCTACAGGAGCCGCAAATTAGGCAGGTTGTGGATTCCCTTTGTGGTGTGTTATCTGTTGCAGAACATTTTCTTGATGCGGAAAACCCGCCTGATAATCTTGCCGGCGCGATGCCTAGCCATGATCGGCTTCCTACTGCTCTACCTCGCGTGTCCCATCCTGGCGGAGATGTCTCGAGGCAAACCGGACCGTGGGTTGGCATCCTCTTTCCAGCTTGAAGTGTTAGAACACTGTGCCAGGTAATTATGTATATTGGTCTTAAGTTCAACATGCATCGCACCTAGTAACCATGTATCCATAATTCTTCAATCATTGACACTTATAATATCAAGCTCGAGTACATCGACACTATGGAAATGCATGAAATGCCCAGCATCGATCAGATCGACCCTATAAGTCTGACATGTCTGCCATATTGTGTTGCTTGGAGCAATTTCCACTGATGAAGGAGCGGAAACCAACTCCAGCAGTCATGTGAAATATATATTTCGTTCATGAACACTTAAATTTAATAAAATTTCATTCAGATCTGAATGTGAATAACGAACGAGAATTCCGTGGTAACTTATATTGGTTATATGAAGACTGGTTGGTTAAGAATACTTGTACTAAAACAGAGGCGGTCAAAACGGAGCCATTTAAGAAAATAATCTGACCTCAGCCAATTTTGAGATCTTATTATTAAACGCGAAATTTTATAAATTTCCGAAATTGGTTCCAGTACATAAACTTAGGCCTATTCTTTCAATTTACTATACCTAAAATATGGCATAAAGAGTAAGCAAGTAAAAGTGAAGCTATCCTTGTAAGAAGCCATGAAGGCCCATAGGGTTGTGAGACGTTGAGGGTCCCACATTATATAGACAATCGGCTCAAAGATGGCGGTAAGGTTGTCAGCCTTACGCGCCGGCCGCACTTTACTCCCCAGAAAAATTATTTTAATTGATTCCAGGTACTCATTTCTGTTAGAGAGTGAGTGAACCCCAGGGCCATAGTGCGGCTGGAATGATTAGGCCAATTGAAAAAAATTCCAATGACCTTATCGGGACTTGAACCCGCGTCCTTCCGGTTTGTAGCATAGCCCCTCAACCAACTACGCTACTGCGTGTCTAATTCTGACTCCACTGAATTTTATCTCTACGCCTTCAGAACACCACAGTTTACATGCAGGTCCATTCTGACCAAATTAATGAGCAGCGACGCTGAGTTTATGTAATTTGCACATAAAATTTAAGTTTTGTTTCAGTCAATGCGAATGATTTAACATTTTATCTAACAAACGTTCAACAACACAGTTTTTCTGGGGAGCCTCTCCGGTCCTAAACACACCAAAATAACCCCACGTCTCCCCCGGCCAACCCCACCCCACACCGCGTAAGAGCAATCATCCACCGCTGCACTGCAGGCTGCAGAGTCTGCGACGTTCTTAATAACGTATGGAAACTTAACAGACCAGTTTATTAGTCATTATAAACTCCATGATGCACGACCTAACTAGAGAAGTTTAATGAAGTTCTGCAGCTCTTAAAGACACGACTTGCTTTCAAAGGACTTCGAAGTTCTTATCCCCTTCACAATTGGACACTACCTAGAGCGACTTCTATCCGGTTTACACAACAATGGTCTATTTCTCGATTTTTTCTACGCCTAAGCCTCAAAGCTTATTTGTTTCCTATAGGTTTTCTGACTAAATCTATGTACGCACTTCTCATATCCATGCGCGCAGCATACATCAGACTCTCCTTGATTTAAACATCCTAATAATGTTTGGTGTAGAGATAGGGTTGGATGGTATGGATTGGATTATTCTGGCTCTGAAGCAGGAATCGGTGGAGGGCTCTTGTGAACACGGTTACATAAAATGCAGGGAATTCTTGAGTAGCTGCGCAACTGGCGGCTTCTCAACAAGGACTCAGCTTCGTGGTCTTAGTTAATNATAACATTGGATGCACTGACATGCGAACTGCTGCAGTGCGGCCGTTTCAGTTGGTGAACAGTTGCATGAAGATTGTCTTGTAAAGCAGTAACACGTTACAATTAAATGTGATTTTAATGACCTTTAAAAGTTTTTTGGGGGGGGCACTACAGCCCCAGTGGGCCTAGGCCTACNAGATCATGATACATTTTTTCGTTCTCCTCATTTTGTCTCTTTTTTTTGGGGGGGGCACTACAGCCCCAGTGGGCCTAGGCCTACCTCCATGAACTTCTCCGTTCACTTCGGTTTTTCTAGATCTTACACATTCGGTAGGACTTCTTGGGCGGGCGATCAGCTCGTCGCAAGGCCTCTACCTGTACAAAAACACAGAAAAACGCACACACACAAACTAAACATCCATGCCCTGAGTGAGTTTCGAACCCACGATCCCGGTTTTCAAGCGAGCGAAGACAGTACATGCCTTAGACCGCTCGGCTACCGTGACTGGAAATTTATGAGAATAATATATATAAAAATCCAGTTCGTACCTCGCAGGAAACAGATCCGAACCCACGATTCCGGTTTCCAAGCGAGCGAAGACAGTACATGCCTTAGACCGCTCGGCTACCGTGACTGGCTACAGGCTCAGAGAAGTTCATGGAGGTAGGCCTAGGCCCACTGAGGCTGTAGTGACAAGGGGGGGGGGGAAAGAGCCTGAAACTGTGTTCTTCCATTAAAGCCATACAAAACGATTTATCCTTCTGCTGTAATTAAAAGACCCATTTGATTTGTCAGTATAAAATGGGTCTTGCCGAAAGTCAGTTGTCTTTCCAAGGTCCGAAATTGAATCCCGGTGTCTTTCACTGCCTATAATATTTTTGTTGCCTGATATAACCACCCAGGTGCACGAGGCCACTTTCTGACTTTGCCGATTGCTGTGAGAGAGAAGCGAGTTCGCTAGTTTATTGAAAAGACCTGAGCTGACGGGGAGAGAATCATACCTTATAAAGTATCAAGTTCTCATGTCACTGAATATCGTCACTCGATAGTGAGTATAAAACAGTCCCGGGTGCCACTTAGACAAGGTAAAACAAAGAGAATAATTTATGATGGTCTTCATGAGACCCACAGAATCAAACTTGCGACAGGAGGAGAATGACCCTAACTAACTACACGGAGCTGAGCCCTTCTTAAGAAGCCGCCAATTTTTCAGGTACTAAAGAAATTCCAACAATTTTATGGAACTCAAAAGTTCATTACCGTGTTCACAAGGGCCCTTCACTGGTCCCTATACTGGGCCAGATCGACCCAGTCTATACCATCCCATTCTATCTCTCTAAGATCCATTTCAACATTATCCATCCATTTATGTCTTTGTCTTCCTAGTAGTCTCTTTCCTTCCAGCTTTCCAATCTCATCCTCCTTGACATGGTCATTCTAATTATACTTGGAGAAGAGTACAAGTTATGAAGCTCCTCACTGTGCAGTTTTCTCCAACCTCCTATCACTTCGTCTCTCCTCAGTCCAAATATTCTCCTCAACACCCTGTTCTCGAACACCCTCAGTCTACGTCCCTTCCTTAGTGTCAGAGACCAAGTTTCACACCCATACACAACAACAGGCAAAATTATAATTTTGTATATTCTAATTTTTAAGCTTTTAGACAGCAGACGAGACGACAAAAGTTTCCTGACTGAAGGGTATCACGCCTAACCGAATTCAGTCTCTCTTAATTTTCTCCTAAATCAGTTTTTGATTTGTTATAGTCGTTCCCAAATATCTGAACTGTACCACATTTTCAAAATATCTGTTAGTTCTCTTTATATCATGATTTTGCCTTGCATTCTGTTGATGAGGTAACATATACTTAGTCTTTTCTGTGTCTACTTATAGACCAAATTCCTTACTAGGGTCAATTAAAGTTTCTGTGCATTTCTTTATGGTATCTATGTTATCACCCAGTAGATTCACATCTTCAGCATAGACCTGCAGCTGATGTGTCCAGATTAATTTCAGTCCCACCTAGTTTTCCTGGACCTTCCTAATGGCATATACTAAAGCAAAATTGGAAAGGACTGGCGATAAAGCATCTCCTTATTTTATGTAAACCAATGAGGATAGGGAAATTATCCACCGCGGCGGCCCGGGTTCGATCCCGGGTCTGGTCAAATTAGATTTGTGGTGGACACAGTGGCGCTGGGGGCGGGTTTTCTCCGAGTACTTCGGGTTTCCTGCCGATCTTCATTCCACCAAATTCTCCATCATCATAATCACCCGGGGCAGGCTACAATAGGCCAATCAGTGGCCGCCATGCCGAGTGGACCCAGTTGGACTCCACTCCCCCTTAAGCTAATTTAAAAAAAAAAAGGGTAATTATCAGACAAATGTTAACCTATACGGACTTTACCATACGTTTCGTTTAAACACATTTTAATGAGCCTAACTAGTTTCCTGGTGCCCCAAATTGTATGAGAATATTGTACAATACAATACAATACAACATAGACTCTGTTGTTGGAGAAGACACCTACTCAGTTGGGTCTCTTAGAGAGAGCTAACTTCAATCACTGGATTAAAGGGCCCAACAGAGTAGGTGTCTTTCCCCCTCACCTGAGTACAGAAACAGATACAGTTTCCAAAACGTTGTAGTTTCTAATTTCTAGAATATCGGACGATGGACCAAGTCCAAAAACCCAGTAATTCTGAATGTTATACAGATTGTCAGAACCCTTGAGAATGTACCCTTAGATTGATGTCGCCAGCTTACTGGCTGACCGTACTGCGTATAAGATTGACGACTCGAAATGATTATCCTACGCACAAGCTCCGTGTTTCGAAGCGTTAGGAAAGCCGCAGAAGAATATGTAACTAATATTAATAAGGCTGACCGCCTCTGTGATCTAGTGATCAGAGTTCCTGGCTACAGATCCAAAGGTCCCGGGTTCGATTCCAGGTGCTACCAGATTTTCTGAGAAGTAGTGGGTCTGGAACGGGGCCCACGCAGCTTGGTGAGGATAATTGAGAATCTTTTTCAAGGAAATAGCGCCTCCGGTCTAGAAACCCGAAAGTAACGGCCGTGGGGATTCGTTGCGCTGACTACGGGACACTCTCTATCCGCTAAGTTGGCACTAACTTCGTCGACAAGCGGCGATCGCTCGGTCGGTATAGTTCGCTTGCCGACTCAAGCCATGGAGTTCTTTTTGTTTATTAATAAGACTAGAAAGATGTAGGCCTATCCCAGCCATGTTACACCAAGAACGACCAACACGTAGAACGGCGTCATTTACCTGCAGGTTCCGTGTCAATGCAAAGAATGCTTATACGTTGTCCGGAGACCAGTTATCTTCAATAAGATTTCTTTCCCACAGCCCGCCGGAGGACCCAGGGGAAGGAGGATGTGCGGACAGCCGGAATGCTCTAGCGAAGATGACTCGGACCGTTCCACCGGACAATGAACACGATAATACTTGCTCCACAACTGATGTATTCCTACTGGAGAACACCTGTACAGTGGACCAACGTCCTGCGGAGAACGTACATGGACATTCCAGACAAGCCAAACGGTATGCAAATGCCTCTCCTAGAAGACTTTTGGCTGCTCGTTCAACGGACCCGACTGCAGCAGTCGTTAAGATACAGGCTCCTCGGCATCAGGTTAAGTACAGGTCACTGAAAAGACGAGAAGTTCCTGACGTAGAACTGGCAGTAACTTCTCAGCAACAAGGCATAACAACACGAACTCTGTTATCTGTGGAGAGTGCTGCCAGAATTGCCTCAGAGCGAACTGATACTGTCAGGAGAGCTCTGTCCATGGAACATGATGAACCCAAGGAAACGGCTAAGAAGTTACTTTCCCGCCGAATACCAGAGTTGGAAGCATCGCGAAGGATGTTAGCAGAAAGACAGTATCCTAGCAGAACCGTTCCTGACTCAAGGGCCTTAGTCGAAAGAGACATTTCTAGGAGACAGTCAAGGGAAAGGCAAGCTTCGAGACGTACAATGGAACGTGGAATGTTTCAAATTGATGGATCCAGGAGATTCACATTTGAAAGACAGTCTTTTCGCAAACTTTCTGCCGACCGTAGAGTGTCTGAGTCCGATGTTTCTACAAGAACGTCAACTGAGAGAAAATCTTCCCTGAGAACTTCAACGGATCATAGGATGTTCGAGCCTGATGCAGCCAGAAGATCGTCTGTCGCAAGGCAATCTGAACGGAGGATGTCAACTGAACGCAGAATTAGCGAGCCTGCTGCATCTAGGTTATCAGAAAAAAGAGAGTCTTCACGAAGACTGTTAACAGATCGTAGGATGCTCGAATACAGTCCTTACAGGAGAATGTCTATTGAAAGGCAATCTTCTCGAAGCCTAGTATCAGATAGAATTTCTAAAATTCGATTTGAGTCTATGGCATCTTCTGAAAGGAGCTTCTCTGGCACTAGATCCTCACGCAGTCCCACAACCGACATCCGTCAAGATGGTTCTAGAAAAACTCGTTTGGGAATAAGGACATTATCGGAAGAAATACAGGGAAGCCGAGTTTCAAAAGAACGTTTGTATCCTGAACGACGATCAATTTCAAGGGCAGTGCAGCCAGAAGAGCGAAGACATTATGCAGAGAAGTCGTTTTCTAGAAGAAATTCCCTTGATGAAGCTCGAAGGTCTAATGAACAACATTTGAAAAGAAGCCTCTCCGAAGCAAGAATTAAATCCGAAAGAATAAATATCATCCGAGGGATAACCAGGAACATAAATTCCCACATTCCTTCCGACCACCGTGATTCTAGAACGTTTCCATCTACCGGCATAGCTATCAGAAGTTCAAGTACTGGCAGGGGATCTGACGAACGCCGAAATGTGAGAATGTCTCATGAGGGATTATTTCGCTTAACTTCTCCAGTTCGCCATCTATCATTGTCTTCCGAACAAAACAAAAATCAGAGGCAGTTTTCTGAATCTATTTCTAAAATATCTGCGGGTCGTCGAAATATAAGAATATCCAACGACAGACTGTCCCCCGAAATTTCATCAGATCTCATTGAAACTTTTAGGATTTCGGATGAACGACTTTCTACAGTTTCTAGCATCAAATTACTACCAAATAGAAACTCGATCAATTGCGTTGATGTATACAGAATTGCTGACAATCGAAGAATTAGTGCAACTTCAAATGAGATAATTTCATCGCCTAGATTATCAGCTACCCGGAGAACATCTGAAGAACACCGCAGTCTCACATTGCATCATGAAATGGCTCTTTTCCGTTTATCTCGAAGACATGTTCCTCTTGAAGAAAGGAGGAATATGAAATTTAATCATGAAAGACGATCCATTTCGTCGGAATGGTATAGTCGTCGTGCTTCAGATAGGAAAACAGAGAAACGGCGATTTTCTTCCGATAGATCAGCACCGTTTAGAATCTCAAAGGAAAGAAGCTCTTCAAAAACGTCAACTTCCACAGATCGCCCACTCACAACATCTAGGAAAATACTGTATGCGAATCCCTTAGGTGGGCGAACAGTTCAAGATGAATACAGGCGATTGCCTGAACACCATGCTTCAAGACGAATTGTTACCCGCAGCATAAGTGACGAACATCGATCTTCAGGGATTTCTCTTTCTAGGAATAACCACGCCGCTGAGTCTGAAACAACACGTAGTCTGGGCAGAAATTCAGTAGAAAAAAAATCCAAAGCAACGATCGCTGAACGTTTAAACAAACTCGGTGATTCACGGAGGATTTCTGCTAGACAACTAATATCCGAACAGAAATTTAGGTTTACTGAAAGGTCTACGATGTCTGCTGGTATTTCAGTATCTGCAACGAATTATAGGAGGGTTTCTGCCGAACGACTGGTACTGGAAAGAAATTCCAGGAGATGGTCTGAACGTCTGGCATCTGTCAGGTATTCCAGGATATCTGCTGAACGATTGACACCCGAAAGAAATACTGGAAGATCGCCTGAACGTCTAGCATCTGTCAGGGATTCCAGGATATCTGTTGAACGATTGACACCCGAAAGGAATACTGGAAGATCGCCTGAACGTCTGGCATCTGTCAGGGATTCCAGGATTTCTGCTGAAAGATTGGCACCTGAAAGGAATACTGGAAGATCGCCTGAACGTCTGACATCTGTCAGGGATTCCAGGATATCTGCTGAAAGATTGGCACCCGAAAGGAATACTAGAAGATCGCCTCAACGTATGGCATCTGTCAGGGATTCCAGGATATCTGTTGAACGATTGACACCTGAGAGGAATACTAGAAGATCGCCTGAACGTCTAGCATCTGTCAGGGATTCCAGGATATCTGTTGAACGATTGACACCTGAGAGGAATACTAGAAGATCGCCTGAACGTCTAGCATCTGTCAGGGATTCCAGGATATCTGTTGAACGATTGACACCTGAGAGGAATACTAGAAGATCGCCTGAACGTCTGACATCTGTCAGGGATTCCAGGATATATGCTGAAAGATTGACATCCGAAAGGAATGCTAGAAGGTCGCCTGAACGTCTGGCATCTGTTAGGGATCCCAGGATATCTGCTGAACGATTGACACCCGAAAGGAATACTAGAAGATCGCCTGAACATCTGGCATCTGTCAGGTATTCCAGGATATCTGCTGAAAGATTGACACCCGAAAGGAATACTAGAAGGTCGCCTGAACGTCTGGCATCTGTTAGGGATCCCAGGATATCTGCTGAACGATTGACACCTGAAAGGAATACTAGAAGATCGCCTGAAAGTCCGACTTCTGTCAGACATTACAAGAAGTTTTCTGCTGAACGACTTACATCCAAAAGGCAGTCCAGGAGGTCTACTGAAGTTACATCGTCTGTCAGGGATTTAACAAGGAATTCTCCTGAACAGATGGTATCCGCAAGAGATTCCAGGAGGTATGCTGAACGTTTGGCATTAGTCACAAATATCAGAACCGTGTCTGTCAACCGAATGGCATTTGGGGAGAATTCTCGACGGTCTGTTGAACGTTCAGTTTCATTAAGGAACTCTAGGCAAATTTCAACCAGATCTTCCAGATCTGCTGACCCAACTGTAACAGTTTTGGGAACAAGGAGTTCTGCAGAACGATCGGTTTCTGAGAGGGATTCAAGACGCTCAGCTGAACGTCTAGCACCAGTTACTATTTCTAGGGTTTATACCGAAAGAGTAGCATTTGTCAGGCGCTCAGTTGGCAGTTGGGCACTTGGAAGAGATTTCAGACGCGGTTCTACTGTACCACTGGCATTTGAAGTGGATATTAGACGATCAGTTGAACGTTTGGCAAATAACATAAATTCCAGGACTTCCGCTCAACTAGTGTCTCAAATGGAGTCCAGAAAATCAGTCAACTATTCATCTTCTCTCAGGAAACCAGATAGTTTAACTTCTGCAAGGAAATTCAGAACTTCTGTTGAGCGAATGTCATTTGTAAAAATGGTCAATGGAAGGAGATCTGTTTTGAAACAATATTCAACTGACCGCTTTGCAACCAAAAAACTGACAGCCAGGGCATCTAACAGAGCTGTCTTCTCTGAACGCCTTGTGTCACAGCCTGAACAGGTCTCTATCATTCGCTTTACTTTGAAGGCTCCAGAACATTACAGTACCAACAGGATGACAAATGTTAGAAACACAAAACTGTCTTATGGACATATCTCAAATAATCAAGATCTGTACCAGAGTTTTGGGCTTTCTGAGAGACGATTTATTACTATGGATAATACAACACTGAAGACTGAATCATTATTAAGTATTGGTTTGCCACTGGGAACAATACAGAAATCTATTTTAAATTTTATGCCTGCTCAATATTCAAGCTGGACTGACAAGATCACTGAATATGTAAGATGTGCACTGGCCACTCTGACTTTATTTTGGCCAGCATTAACAATTTGGAAGGGAAATGCTTTGGAATATCTTACAAGCTTAGATGTGATACTGGGATTCTCAACTAAAATGGATCGTTTCAACAGTTTCTTTGCTGACAAGGTAGAGTTTTGCAATGTTTCATTTATTATATTTTGATTTACTATAAACATCTAAGCACAACATATTTAAGGTGTACATGGGGTTTGAATGTAAACTTCCATGCATTCTTACGCTAGTGGAGATCAGTGGTCAATTTCATCTTTCAGGAGCACTACCATTTGCTTCTCTACATTTCTTATTGCATCATACTAAAATCTTCATAGCTCTTGCAAAGTATCTTACTAAGATTTAAATAATCTATAAATTTCATTAAAGTTAAATTACAAATAATTAACCATACCCACAAGACTGTAATATAAAGAATTAAATGCCATAATTGATTTTTACATTTCTATCATTCATTCATCCATAAAACAGCAAATTGTTGCAGCAGACTGATGTGTCAAGAAATGATAAAAAGAAGGTAAAGCTACCCCTGTAACAGGCCATGCAGGGTTGTCAGAGAATGAGGCTCCCACATTTTCTAGACAGTCAGTTCAGAGATGGAGGTGAGGTTGCCAGCCATATGCGCCGGCTACCCTTTACTCCCAGGAAAATTCCTGGTACCTATTTCTGCTACTCATTATTGAGTCAACCCCAGGGCTATAGTGCAGCTGGAAGGATTAGGTCAATTGAAAAATCCCATGACCTTCTGGCTTGTAGCATAGTGCCTCAAGAAAATTTAATTTGCTGATCCTGTGGAACACAAAAGATGGCCAGAGTAGAAGTAGCTGATGTACCTAAGCAAGAAATCTTATTTGTATTTGTATTGCTGAAGGAGTTGAAGGCATAGATTCTCTAAGGTTATAAATGCTAATTATCACATTATGCTCACAATTTAACACATTTTAGATTCCTATTGTATTTTTGAAAGTTAAATATATATCACTGATAGCTAATTCAGTTATGTTCTAAACTTCCAGCCAACCTCCAACTGTGCTTTTGTACCTGATGACCTGGCCCTCATTGGCTCCACCAAACCAGCTCCTGCAGTCATGAGGTAAATATTAGCATTCTGTGCTGTCTGAGCATTGCATGGTAATATTATTAGACACAATTCCCTTAAGATGAAAAAGCAAATAAAGTGAATTCAAAGTCCATAGCAAAAATCTGGAATTTCAGTATACACAGAGGGGCCCAAAAAATGTACTCACTCTTTTTTGGAACAAAATGACATGTAGTTACAATTCTTGCGCAGAGAGAGAGAGACATTGTAGGTGTTCGAAGGGACCACCATCAGCGGCTAAACAGTGTCGATGCCGCCACTGCTGAGCAAACTATGGTTGTCAGTGTGTCTGGTGTGATGGCTGCACACGACGCTTCGATGGTTTCTCGTAGCGCGTTCAGTGTAGCTAGCTTTTGTCGATAAACTTCAACCAAGGTTCGCTATAGGTAGAAGTCGAGAGGTGTTAGGTCTGGAGACCATCGTGGGTACTCAGTAGCACCTTTTCGACCTATCCATCGTCCAGGTAGAGTGTCATCCAAGTATGTCCTGACATTTCAATGGCAGTGAGGTGGAGCACCATCTTGTTGTAGGTACAATCTCTCATCTCCAAACAGCTCTCAAATGGCAGGGAAAATCGATGTCTGAAGCATATCGAGATACACCTGACCAGTCACAGTACCTTCAAAGAAGAAAGGACCAATCAAACCGCACGATGACAGACCACACCACACCCGGTAGATTCACTTCCTTGCCCACGGGAATGTGTGGATTTACAGCAGCTGTTGGTGGCTGAGTTCCAAACTCATTCTGCCATTGTCGTTGTACCTCTTTAATGTTGTCGTACTTCCAGTACCACTTCGATACAGCCTTGCGTTGCTCAAAGAACAATCTTTCAGCCATTGTTGCTGTCTTCTGCTTGCATCGTGCATGCGGCACGACACTCACATGACTCATGTGACTTTTGCCATCTGTTGAGAAAACATTACACTACACTACACTACCGCACCACGATGATGGTGCGGTNTTCCAGTACCACTTCGATACAGCCTTGCGTTGCTCAAAGAACAATCTTTCAGCCATTGTTGCTGTCTTCTGCTTGCATCGTGCATGCGGCACGACACTCACATGACTTTTGCCATCTGTTGAGAAAACATTACACTACACTACACTACCGCACAAGAATTGTAACTACATGTCATTTTGTTCTAAAGATATTGACTATCAAAGAGTGAGTACATTTTTTGGACCCCCTGGTATATGGCTTACCTAACACTACTTCTACATTTATTAATTTTATCAGATCATGTATAATCACAAACTATCCATCAATGTTGATATCTGACAACTTATTGATTTTATTAATGTCCTGTTCAATGATGCTTTCAATAGATCAAATTTAATACTATTAAAACATAAAAATATTAGTGAATTACTAACTGAAAAGGACTTGGAAGGAAGTAGTTGTGGTCTAATTTCATATCTTATCCCAACGTTTATCTGAAGAAACTGAGGAATATCATAACAATTCATAACACACAGTGTCTGGGCCAAGATTTGAATCCCAAACCCTCAGAATACAAAGCAAGAGGGTTACATACTAAAATACAGCATTCTGCAGTAACAGTATCAAGAAGTGAAAAAAAAAATAAAATATTTTTTCTCTGTACAAGGAGAACAAAGTGAACCCCACAGGGTAAGGCAATGTCTGTCTGTCCATACATTTCACATTCAAAAGTACTAAACAAATTTAAAAGGAGTTTGGTATTAGGGATATATGGCAAATGTTCCAACAAATTTAATTCTGGTCCTTATCAATCCAATGTAACATATTTTAAATGAAACTCAGCTCAAACTTTATCAAATTTACCAAAGATGACTTATTCCAAACAAAGTGGAACGTGACATAAAATATATTTCTCATAAGGATCTGAAACTTACATTTCTATTTTTTTTTTCCATATGGTGAATGCTTTGTGAAACACAACGAAACATATTTTCTGACACTATGCAATGACATGTATAATGTGATTTGCTTTGTTATAATAATATTTATACCCACCATATTTTGTTTGCAATAAATCATACTGAGTGAGCTGGTTCATGCATTAATGCAACTGACTTGTATTCAGTGGGTATCTGGTTGAAATCCCTGCTAAGGCACTGACTATTCTGACTGAGGATTCTGATGTTTTAAGTGAGTCCCCATAAGCAAATTGCAGAAGAGTATCTCAAATTAGGTAGAATATCAAGGATAACGAAGAGTTCTAGCTGCTGTGATAGAACACTACATAGACCACTGAAAGTCAACGGACATTTCAGTGGAACATATCGCCTCCATCTTCAGGGTTGAACAGTAAGCCAAGCAAGAAACCGGCATAAAACAGGCAGACTGTTCATCTGAAGTATCAGGTGACTTTCAACAGACTACGTGGCACTATAGCCAAGAAGGCATAACCATGCTGTGAGAGACACAGATCCTATAAGTTTGATGAACTGTTCAAAATTGCAAAGCTGCAAAGAATGAATTAAAAAAATATATTTCTTCCACTTCATAATTCGTGTTAGAAACAGCTATGTTACAATTTAGCCAGGGTTTTTCATAATTCATTACAGGGAGAAAGGTGGACTACTCGCTACTCTGATTGGTGGAGGTGTCAGCGCAGCAGTCATGATACTGTCAACAAAGCCTAAATGAAGGCCAAAACCTAACAGATCTGTTCACCCCTGTGTCTCCATACAGTACACTGCAACTTATATAGGTGTTTCAGTAGTGTAATCCAGCAAAATATTAGATAATATGTAGAAATATTTAAACACATTTCAGTCATTCTTAAACAGCCAAATTCTTCAATCCTTTATAAGCAATTATATGTAGTTCTGATTTGATATTCACTCTAACTGTTCAACAAGAGACTTATTATCTACAAATGCAAGTTTCTACAGGAATATTTGAAATATTGCATAAGCCAGTATAATTTCACAGAGATGATGGATCATTTTTAATTTATTTAATTTATTTTAATCATAAGACTGATCTTAATGTTCATGTTAAAGCATTTACAACTCTTGGATTAGGCATGATCTATAAAAGAAAATGTTTTTAAGACACTTCAGCACTTTGCACATATGACAAATGTGTTCATAAATGTTTTAACAAGTTTGCACAAACATTTATATGCACAAATACTTTTATGTTTTCTCATATACCTCCATCTCTGTAGAATAATCCTTACTGTTTAAGGCCACTTAAACTTACTGTTTACTAACCAAGAGGTTAACATTAACAGTGAATCATATTAACAGGGATTAAAATTTATCGGCATGCAAAACATTAAAATGCAAACTCTTTATATTAATTCTTATGATCCAAGCTTTCAAGAAATTGCCCTTTCTAAGGGACACAAGGATCCAGGCAACTATTAAATAATTTTCTATAATACTGTGCCAAATTTTAGAGTACTCAGGAACTATTAATTTATGCATAGCTGTTTAAGAAGTGGATTCTGAAGGGTTCAATGATGGTGTATAGCATTCAGGATTATTGGATTTTTGGGCTCTGTCCACTTTCCAGTATTCTGATATACACTGTTTTGGAAACTGGAACTGTTTCCATCCTCAGGTGAGGGGATGGTAAACACCTACTATGTTGGGTCAATTAGAAAATGCTAACCTCAACTGTCCAGCACTTGTGGTTAGCTCTTTCTAACATACCCAACAGAGTAGGTGTCTCCCATCCCCTCACCTGTGGATAGAAACAGGTCCAGTTTCCAGAACATTGTGGATATTAGAATACCAGGCACTGAATAAAGTCCAAAAACCCATTAATCCCATGCTTAAATAGCATAGTGCCCAAAGAATGAATTTCAGAAAAATGATTCACTTACTTCGTACCAGTGTTAGTAAATTAACCTCAAAACTCTATATCTCTCTTTTTTTTTTTCTTTTCTTTTTCTTCCTTTTTTTTTTTTTTAATTCCGATTGACTACACAAATTAATTTCTAAACTGATTTCATAAAATATTCAGATTACTGCTATATATGGTCTGGACACTACTTTCTCTGTAGCTTACATTTGCTTGCAAGAAAATTACAAAGGTGATCAGAACTTCAAGGTCTATGGTCTATGTTCCAAGCCAAATATAAAACCTTTAAAAATCAAACAAATATTTTTATAACAACAAAATATTAGTAACTGGTTTATGAACATCAATTAAGAAAGCGGATATTTAAACACATATGTTTCCAAGACACAAATTAATGAATAAGAGTAACGCTCTAAATCTTAAGAATACGTATTAATCTAATCATGTCAGGAAACTTAAAATATTTTATTTTCTGAATACTGAAATTAAAAAATATTAAACTGTCCTGTGATATATATGTTTGCTTACATGTACAGTGTAATGTAAACATTTATGTGGATATTCTCCTTGTAGTTGCATTGTTAGAATATTAAAGTGCAGCATCAAAAAATCCATTTGTTGTTTAATATGAAACTGTCCATAGCCCTACATACACACATTTGACACAAACAAACAAATAACATAACCACATAAGTAAAGCTGGTACAGAACTGTGGATAAGTGGCTTCTTTGGGGGGGGGAGGATGATCAGTCCGAGCAATGTGTCTTGGTGGGTCAGTGTATGAGAACATGAAGGAGAGGAGAAGGAAAATATAAGTACAAATTTGTGTAAGATAGGTCATCTAAATCTATTATTGCAATGAACCTGAATACCTAGTGTCATATTTTCACTACGCAATCATTGTGTATTACCATATTTCAGATGTCAGTTAAGAATTATTAACATTTTTAAATCTATTTTCACCAATTGTCTTACAGGATTTGTGGTTCTCACAGCAGTATAAAAATGATTATCTTCTGGGATGTGACACTGTGTACTTTGGTACTAAAGTTTTGGAGGAACCTTATGCCTCCATTTTCAAGACAGAAGATACCCACCCGCAAAGCAGTTGCAATGACTGTAAAATCATGAACTTTCCCCCAAGCTCTTACATCATACACAGGTTAATGTCACAGATAGGCTACAGACATGACATTATGACAAGCTGTAATATTCATGTACTGTTTTAGTGAACAACTAACAAGGTGAACTTCACTTTGCAGCCCTTGTATCTACAAAAGTTAGAGAGATATTCTTCTCAAAATCTTTCTGAAATATGTCCCTCACAACATAACACATTATGAACATGTATTCCCATAGCAAATAATAGGAATCTCAGGAGGTAATCACATTTTGCCCTTCATAATTATTTGCCGATTTTTGCCATTGGATATGGTGATGTACAGTATCAGATGGCTTACATCTGTGTACAAATTATGTCATCTAAAAACTAATCATGAGAAAGACCATTCAGTTATGGACAGTGATCATCAGGAAACACAGGGCATATGCATCCCATTAAATGTTAAAAGAACAGTCATATAAAGATGTCAGAAATATAACAAGCTTGATGTTCTGCGGGTAGAGTGAACTGTATTGTGGCACAAGATATGACAAAATGGATGAAGGTGATTATTTTCAAGGCCGCATGGACAGAAGGTTTGGTTGGGGTAGCAAACTGTAAATGTCAAATGAGTGAAAAATAAGGAATCTATCTTCTCTGAAGACATCAGAGAGGAATGCAAAATCTGCTTCAAGGCATTACCCTTACATAAACCCTGAGACACTAAGGAAAGCTATGACAGACATTAGGAAGGACAGCCAATTCAGAAGAACTATCAAAATTTTGGATAAGTTAGAGTTTGGTTTCAACAATTTCAATCCTGGCCTTATTTTACAAAGAAATTATCTTCTTTTGTTTGTTTTCTGAGATGGAGAACCACAAATAGGTGCATTCCAATAAAGATGTGGTAGAAAATTCATTCTCTACAAATTAATAAATATCAAATACACCACATATATGAGAGTATACACCTGATGATGGCCATTTACGGCTGAAACATGTAGTGTAGAAGAAAGGAAGACAAAAGAACTACAATAAATTGTTGCACTTAGGATGGAGTTTGTGTCATATACTCCAGAAGCATAAGTGGTTGGTTGGTCTGAACATGAAATGTTATTGATTTTTTATCTGTTCAACATGTTGACAGCTACAGATAACAGCTGCAGATGAGATGAATTTTAACCCATTGATTAAGCAACCACTGTGCTAACCTGGTAAGCAGGTTTGGGTTACATCTTGGAACAAGCTCATTAGAAAAGAAATAAATGCAGAAGAGCTGGTTACTTAGAGAAGGTAAAAGCTGATAATGATATGGCACAGTACTGTGTTTGACTGAAGAGTCCTTCAGTAATTGCTGCTAGAAGATGATTAGGGTTGTGACATGGCAAAAGAGTTTCACGGGAGCCACGAAGACTGGGGGAAGGGCAATGGCATGAGACTTCTGGAGACTGAAAAGAGGCAAAAAAGTGGAATCATAGCTTGACTTATGTAGCAGCTTTAGAGCTATGTCATTTTGGAATGAGCAGAGACAGTGAACAGGATCTTGACGCCGGCAAAAACATTTAGTTGAGTACCTTGTTAAAACAAAAGTAAGAGGTGTTCTTACAAGAAGGTGACAAAAGATTTCCAAAATTCTGGGAGAGCAATGGATGGCACCACAAATCATGGGGTGAAAGGAAACACTCTTTTTACTTTAAAGAAAATTTATTATGACTAAGAAAATGCCCCATTTATAATATCTTTCGGCTTCATTCTGAACACAGGGGCCTACTTAACATGCTGAGGAAGCTTACAAAAGTTTCAATTATTTAAAGTGCCACATATTTTACAACTGATCTTACAATGTACATACATATATACATATATATATTTTATAATAAAATAAATCATGGTTGACATGCTTATTAGTTATCAAAATATTTCTTCTCAGGAAGCACATCTGTTTTGAGAATAGCCTTGTTATACTGTTTCTATCTTGCAATTTAGTCACTTCCAACTTCAATATTTAATATTTGTTATTCCAAAATCTTTCATCACAAATAATAAATAACTGTATATACCTGTAGGTACTAATAATCATATATTACTGATTTATCTTTCCATTACATAAACATGAAATTAGCATCACTGACCACTCAGCAACCACACAAACTAAGCTTTCCAAAAAAAAAAAAACTGCAAGTCAACCACAAAAGGAAATTCCTCCATTTCTGTCTGATGGGCAGAGGTCAGTACAGCCAACATACTGGTGAAATTACAATTATACTTTTGAATGTCTGATTTGGTTTGCTACAGTGATGACTACAAACAGTACTATCTTCTAAGATGTAACACCATGTAGTCTGGTAGTAGTTTACTAATGTTTCAGAACAGCATACCACCGCCATCTTCAGGATCTAAGTGTAAATGCCACCTGCTTCTTGCTGGCTGCTTGCTTCATTTATACTTAAATCCTGAAGATGGAGGCAGAATGTTCCTCTGAAACACATATGAACTTCCACTCGACTACATGGCATTATATACTAAAAGACAGCGATCCTTCAACACTTTCACAGTTCTCAGCTTCAAAGTTCAAATTGAATTTGCTCCAGTCATAGTAGCAAACAAATGCAAGTGAGAATTTGAGAATTAGCTCAAAGGTAATGTGACTAGAGAGTATACTTACATGAGAAAATAGAGGAAAATATGTCAAGTTTACACCAAGGTATGCTGACAGCAGCAAAAATAAAAAATAAAGTATTTTCAATCTACATTTTTAAGGCCAGACATTCTACTGTTCTGTAAGTGTGCAAGAACTTGTGCAGACTGCCACTACTTTGTTTGGATATTTTAGAGGAAAACCACTGATTCGCAAATTACATAACAATTTTAATTCGTTACACAGGTTATAGAATTCTGAATGAGATCACAATATACTCTATTACTTCAAATATAAGACCCCCTTGAATTAAGACACATCCGGTTCTTAAATGTTGGTTTTGGGGGACAAAAATTAGAAAGATGCACATTCCTCAAATTTAAGATGGCACCTCAATTTTCCAATGGGAAAAATGTACATCTTATATTTGATGTAATATGGCAATAATGGATGATGATTACAATCTATCTGAAGGTACTATCCAGGCAACCCCCCCCCCCCAAGACAGAAAAACCACAGATCATTTCACTTGAGACAACCAATAGCCTAGCAAACATCTTAGAATTACTGGGGTTTTGGACTTTGTCCATCACCCAGTACACTAGAAACGAGAAAACACGTTTCAAAAACTAAATCTGTTTCTGTCCTCAGGTGAGTAGGGGGGGTGGGGGAACACATACTTATTTCGGTCCCTTAGGAATTAATCTCAATCCAGTGATTGACAGAATCAGATCCAGTTTCTGAAACAGTTTTTTCTAGTTTCCATAATACTAGATGATTGACAAAGTCCAAAACCCCAGTAATTCTGAGTGTTATACACCATCATCAGAACCCTTCAGAATCTATTGGGAACATCTTGCATAAAAGTCAAGGGTGTACCTACTTACCAACATGTCTGGTACTGTACAGACATGTTCTTTTACACATATAAAGATGGTCATTAATTGTTCTATCTGAAATGATAATGTATGTTTAGAATCTCACTGAAACTTAACTTCCCTACCCTGTTATCAGTGAAATTCCAGGTCACAGATGAAGCCTCAAACTTGAAAGATTGAGACTGTAATAACATGCTGCCTGGTCAGAGCTATCATACACTCAGGGGCTAAACATGGAGCAATGGTGGAATGACAAATGGCAGAGGAAAACTACAGAAACTCAGATAAAAACCTGTTCTAGCCCCACTCCATTCACCATGAATCTCATACAAAGTCCTCTGAATCCATTCAATAAAATTCCAAATTTGAGTTCACAAAAGTGATAAGTTTTCTGATAACTACACCATGATGGTCTGTGGGTAGCCTATGATCTTGTACCAGTCACCAAATTAAAAAATCTCAGTCATATTTGGATCACACTATGAGACATGTCATAATTAAGTAAAAATAAATAAGCACATAAAAACCCCTGCATTCTGTATAGAGAATGGAGTAGGCAAAGAAAATGCTCTGCTCCAGATATCCAAGGGTTGAATAAAAACTAGTGGCAACACTGCTGTAACATGAAAGATGTGCGTCAGGTGGCACTAGTGCCATCTGTATCTGATGGCAGAATTCAGTTGAAGTAGTGCAGTGAGTGACTCTGGTTGTGTTTCACTGAGTTGCATTGTGCATCATCTTGAAGTGCAGGAGCCCAGTTCAAGCACCCTAACAACATGTTTACAAAACAAAAACAATGATCCTGAATAAAAATTGAAGTTGCACGAGGTTGTAGTTCACAAAACTGTTATCAGGGACTGCGAGAAGCATGTGGTGATGCTGCTTTGCCATATTGCACAGTGGCATGATGGGTGAAATCGTTCCGTGAAGGGAGGGATGCTGTTCAGGATGACCCCATGTTGACAACCACACAATTCTTGCTTCTTTGCTGGATGTCGACCATCGATGGGGTGCGCTGGAGTTAGCTGCTGAGGTAGGCGAATGTCACAAAACTGTGCTCCACATTCTGCATGATATTCTTGAATATCGCAAAATTGCAGGGCGTTGGGTACCCCATACAATGTCAAAGGTGCAACAATGGCAACGTTATGCAATTGCACAGGACTTGTTGAACCAGTACCAGAGGGAAGGTGACGACTTCCTTGGAAAGATTGTCACTCTGGACGAAACTTGGGCTCACTCATACGAACCGCACTTGAAGTGACAATCAAATGAATGGAGGCATCCTGGCTCTTCTTCTCCAAAGAAAGTGCGCCCTACACAGAGTAATGTGAAGGTGATGTTCATCATGGCATATGACATTGATGGAGTGATACTGCACCACACTGTACCTCAACGACAGACAGTAAATGCTGCCTACTACTGCAATTTCCTGCATAATCATCATCGTCCAGCACTCAGGAGAAAGAGAAGCGATGATACTCATTGGCAACGAACCACATCATCCTTCACGATAATGCGAGGGCTCATACTGCTGACGCTGTCAAGGATCTCCTTCACCACTAGCGATGGGAGATACTGCAACATCTGCCATACTCACCCGATATGAGTCCGTGCAATTATGATCGCTTTGCAAAGTGAAAGAACCACTGCAAGGGACATGTTACAACACAAGAGAGATTATTCGTGTTGTAGGGCATTCACTGCTGGACATCCACAGAAGTGGACACGCTGATGGTGTACGACACCTTCCACAAATTTGGCAGAAGGTGGTACACATGGAGGGTGATTATATTGAAGGAGTGTAAGTGTGTTTACCTCAGGTAATATAGTAATTTCAGAACTACAGAGGTGTTGCCACTACTTTTTATCCGACCTATATATTAAACTCAAAGAATTTTGATATCATCAATTTTCTTAAAAGCACAGTAAATTCCGTTTAAGAAGCATCCATGTAGGATTCCACTCTACTAAATTAATTGCTTATGTGATACTAAAATGAGCCATCAATGAGACTATCTTTTCCTCTTAATACACTCATTAGGACTGATCATTTTAACCACACACACACACACACACACACACACACACACACACACACACATGAAACCAGTTTCACAATTAAGAAGTTCAACATATGACTTGTTTCAAACAGAGGAATTTCCGGTTATTGCTCCTCAGTATAACGATTTCCTTCATTGTATGATAATTTTTTCTTCTTCACTTTCAATAAATTCACTGTTAAAACATTCATCCAGAATTTTCTGTTTGGTATTCAACTGCATTATTCGTCTCAAGGAACTGTAAATCATGACCTCACTTGAGTACTTCAGAACTGTTTAAGCTTCTGAAAACTGGGCTGGACATCCTCATTCAACTGCTGAGGTTATGTTGTATGAAATAATATTTGGTAACATGTTTGTGAATGTTGGATAGAGACAGCTATGAGATTAAAAACAGTTACCACTAGTACTATCCTAGAATTCACTTGGCAAGGGTAAGGGACACTAGGAGCACTTCACTTAAGATACCAGATCCTCAGCCAATACAACTAAAATGGGTATGGTATATCTCAAATATGAGTGAGATGTGTTACAGCAAAAATTTAAAAGGGGGAGCTTTGATAAGATTCTAAAACTGTTATTGAAGTATTATTGCTGTTGAAGAGATGCTTGAGAAGACTATCAGGATGATTATATAATGAAATACCAACAACAGTCCATAAAAGTTCTAAAACTGAGGATGATGATGAAAACTGAAAACATATTATTTAAATTTTATCTAATTTTCCGTCTAACAGCAACATATTACAAATGATTTTAGCCAAGAATGTTAAACTGCTTATAGGGGTAGGTTACAAATATATCAATAAATTCTACAACTTCCTTTTGGTGCTGAATATTACAGGTACAGTGCAGGCACAGAGGTTTGAAGTTACGTCTAACAACTTTCAGGTACTGGACATAGAAATTCTAAATTAAGACTGACCACTATATTGTACAATTATTTGATTGTATGTTCTGCTAACCTGGTAACATCTCAAGAAATGCAGCCATGTAAGTCTTCCTGTAACTTGTTTTTTAACTGTACCTCACATTCATCTCAGCAGAAATGAACATTAAGTCAGGATTAATTTTCTCTGGAGTTTATACATCAGTCAATAAGCATGACAATGCGCAGCCTTAGTTTGTTAGCTTATCCTTTCTCTGCCCTCTTAATTTTAAGACTACATTAACCCAATGAATTTAAATTTGTATTATATGACATAACACAGACAACTGAAAAGCAACATGTTGAATGTGTTCTGACATACAAATTAAATAATATATCAAGTACATGTAGAAGGGATGCTGTTATTATTTTAAGTACCATTTAATTAACTGAACCTACCAACAAAATAACCATTTTTTTGAGCACATTTCATAAAAGGTAGAAGAACTGATTAAATCTGTGTTTAATCCACATAAAATCAGTAATCTCCAAAAATGGAGTTTGAGAAAATATTATAATGAAACATCTTGATAAAAACATGATAATCATCATATCATATCAAATCAAATCAATGAATATTTATGAATATCTGAGGCAAGTTTACCAAGTCTGTTTTGGTCAAAAATAAAGTTTAGAGAGTCTGGATCAGATATTTCTATAAATAATGAGCTGACAAACTGCACTGCAGCACATAGAGCCACTGCATATATCAAATTTATTTAATATACACCAGCACAATTATTAAGCACTTCACAGAACATGGGTCAAAACAACACAATTTTGAAGGTTATGTATGGAACTGAAGCTGCCAACTGCTGTATATGAAAGCCTTATTTCAGTTTCTTTAATGTACTTACACAAATACAGGAAAATGGATTCTCATTTATGTGCTGTTCATACTAAATGCATGTATGTTGTGCTGATAATATCAAAGATTCAATAGAGTTTTGAAGAATGTCCAATTCAAATAACAGCCACACTGACACTGAAATTTAAGTTATGACTGTTAGAGATCCTCCTTTCACTCTTCAGCACCTAACGAACTAGGCACTGGAGTTTAAGATTTTAATAGCAGGGATTTCAATGATACAGTCAATAAAATATCATTGCAGAGAATAACTCTGTAATCCTCTGTAATACTTATTTACCATGTCCGGTTTTCAGTCATTTCTTGCTCCCCTTGAGATGAAGCAAAAGCTTCACTGAGACTGCTTATGCCCGATGTTGAATTAAATGACACTGAACAATATTCTGAATAACATATCAGATAATTTTTCTCTCAAATGCAAAATGAATACCAGAACCTCTTCACAGAGCAAATTGGGTTTTAATGGACAATGGCACCTCTGTCTTCATATTTTAGATCCTATGGGCCTTAGACATGATTGCTTTGTAATAAAACCTTGAATGTGCTATGAGCTTTAAAAATATTATGCCACTGTGTTCAACATATTTCTAATCTTTGGTTTTATCTCCACAATTCCTGTGGAATATTAACAGCTGGCTGTGTTTAATGAAATGAACATATATATATGTTTCATCTATATGGGATTAAAACACTCCTTAACACTCTTCTGGTATGAACTGTGCTCCATCTTGAATGCAACCATCAAGTTCTGCTAAACTGTCTTTTTGAATCTGCAACATTCTCCTCAAATTATGTGTGATGCATAGGATATCTGATTAACATATTTCATGGGACTCAAAACATATGAAGAAAAGTCCATACACTGAAGGCAAAGCCACATATGTTGCTGTACATTATGCCACTAGAGATGACTAGAGAATGTAAAACCGTTATGCCAACAGTTCATTTTAGGCTTCAGTAAATCTGTACTACCCAACCATGGCAACTGTCAGTGTGCGAAGTATGTGAACTAATTCAAGGTATTGTGCAGAGATCAAATGGCCGACCCATAAAGTCAGTGTAACGTCATCACTCATATGTATTTCCCCTCTCTTGCTTGTAGTCAATGTGAGACCAGCTGGATCAAGTATCAGAGACCTTTAGATCCCTAGCCATTTAAAAATTAATTTAGCCAGGTAGTACTTCACTTAAAAAATGCCAGTATCTTCCCCGCATGGGCTGTCTCAATATCCAGATACACTGCTCACATTTGCCAACCAGCTTCTTGGAAGTATGCAGATTTGGTTGGCAACACTGCATACCAGCACTGTTCAGCTCATCGTATTCTCTGTCTGTTCATATGGCCCTCTTTGTACCCTGAATTAATATCACAAAAAGCATTTTTCTGGTTCCCTTAAATCATAAAATATTTCAAGCATTTCTACACAGAACATGCTTCATGTAATTATAAACTATGTTCTGACCAGACATGCTTATTTCTCTGGATAAAACATACCATGGATAATTCCCAAGTACTTGGTATGGGTGGAACGAAGTGGATTCAACTGAGGTTAGGGTACATGGGAATGGTTTTGGTTTGATACAACTACCCAGCCATCACCACCCACATTGTTCCTACGTTGCCGATTTATAATATCGAGCTGCCTTTTCAGGTTTCGGTGTAATGCCAACAAACTCTCCTGAAAAAGAAAAGAAACTATTAGTTTTAAATCTTTATCAAATATAACTGATATTTTTCTGTTTGAATTNGGGGGCAAAAAACATATTGAAGACTAATCCTGTGAATAAAGCACTCATATAGTTCATTAACATCTATACATACTGTCATGTATTAGTGAGCAGACACAGGATTTTGGCGGTAACTAAATTTACTGGACAGTTACAACTTGTAATGACAAATTACTGTAACAGTCTCATTAACTTAAGCTCTCTAGATCACAACAACAACATGCATAAACTCTTCTGTTTCTTCAATAGTCATTGCTAGGTAGAGGATATTAAGAATGCAACTTATGACTACTAACCAATGACTCCAACCTCCAACTGACTGATTTCTCCCATTGCTTCCCACTATACAGTCTCAGCACAGACTGCATTGAAAACACCACTTCCAACAGTTCCTCTACTGCTGCATGTTGATTTGTTGTTGCAAAAACGTGTTTACTGCACCACTGCCTAGCAATGGCAGCATCCTTCCACTATTCTGGCTTTTAGCCGTCATGTCACAATATACACAAACACATGCACAATTATACACACATACAAGTTCATGATCAAAACGTGGCTTCATAATTTATGTCAACAATTCTGAAAAAGTAAAGAATTTTATCCAAAAATCAGACTAGGCTCTATATAGGATGAAGTGATATGAAAATAATGCTTTTTCCTTTCTATTTATGAACTCAATCTTTGTCTCATATGGTATGCTGGTGCCTTAGTATCTTGTGTCACATGGTTGCATGGTGACAATGCACATCATGTGACATGGAGCAACAAGAGAGACTGATTCTCCCTGAATGTGCCAAATATGTCTCATCACTCCAGCAAACTCTGCATTTTATACCTGTTGTTATGCCTTTCAGTTTTCGGTTAAGACGTTTTTCATTCATGCCTGCTTTTACATGTAAAAAGTAAATTTTCTCCTGTGCTTAACAAATTAAGCAATATGCCATGAAGGCATATGGAGGAGTGGAGGTAGAGATCTATGTATTCTTGATAGCAGCACTAGTTGGAGGTAAGTGGTCATCTTCACTCCTTAGTCACTTTACACCTGCAGAAATAGACCAAGATATCCACTGGATAGGATGGGTAGGAACCAGAACTGGTCTGGACAACGTAAAGAGGAGAAAAATCTTGCCCCTACCAGGATTTGAACCCTGACCCATCAGATGTCCAGCCCATAGCCAGTCACTATACTGACAGAGCTATCCGGGTTCCTTTTGCTTTCGCATGTATTAATGCAAAACAAAAAATGTACAAGATTTATTATTTCTTGAGTTCATGGTAAAATAATTAAGATAATGAATTATGCAATAAAATATGGTACTTCTGACTGGCCTAACAGGGATTTCACACACCTTCTCATTTTCAAGTTTTCTGAGCTCCTCTTGGTGACGCTCAGAATCTTGCTGGTCCAGCTGACTCAAGCCTTCGGCTTCACTCAGTCTCTCTGCTAGCTGTGCCTTGTGGCGAGATAAGTACGCAATTTCTGTCTGTACCTTCAGGTAGTCTTGTGCTAGCTAAAAAAGTATCAAGTAAACCTACATAATATTTTTTGTGTTAACAATTACAAACATGATAAAGATAAAATGTAAAGTTGTTCCTGTACCCACTTAATTAAACACCATGCCATGAAGACATGTGACAGAGTGGAGGTACAGCTCCACTATTCTTGATCTTGACACTAGATGGAGTGGGTGGTCAATTTCACCACCCAGTCACTTTAACATCTTGGGAAAGAGCCCCTGGTACTCACTGGATAGGAGGCTGGGTGGGCCCCACAGCTGGTCTGGTTACTGTGAAGTAGAGGAAAATCCCTTGCCCTTGCTGGGAATCAAACGCTGGATGTCCAGCCTGTAGCCAGTCACTGTACTGACTGAGCTATCCCAGCTCCCATTACAGACATGATGGCCAAGCAGAACTTTGAGTTTATATGTGACATATGTAACAATGGATATCTCTGTATTAGTGGAAACTGTGCACACAAATGATTCATAAAGTTTATAATTATTAGTTTACAGTTACTGCATATAGACTTAAGTGCATAAAGAGAAGTAGGTATGTTAATTTACTCCCAGAACCTCTTGTGTTCAAACACTTCAGTAAAACAAATTAATTTTTAGATGAGATTTGGAAGTTAACACAGCAGTCTTCTATGTTATGACAACATGCAGTCTCATAGGAGGGTAACTACATAATAAAAAACAAAATTTTAGTTTATACAGTACACGTAGAAAAAAATTATCAAACAGTATCTCAAAAAGTACAACAAACGTCATTAACTCATGCCTGAGAACAGGGTGCTGAGGAGAATATTTGGACTAAAGAGTGACGAAGTGATGGGAGGTTGGAGAAAACTACCTAAAGAGGAGCTCCATAACTTGTTCCTTTTGTCAAGTATAATTAGAATGATCAAGTCAAAGAGGGTGGGATGGGCACGGCATGTACGACAAATGGGGAAGGGAAGGAATGCATATATGATAGTGGTGGGAAGACCAAGACATAGGTGGATGGTATTATTAAAATGGATCTCAGAGAGATAGGATGGGATGGTATGGACTGGATTGACGTGGCTCAGGATAGGGACCAGTGGAGGGCTGTTGAGAACATGGTAATGAAACTTAGGGTTCCACAAAATTCTGGGAAGTTCTTGAATAGCTGCACAACTAGCAGTTTCTCAAGAAGGGCTCAGCTCCATGAAGCTACCTAGTTTTTTTATTGCTAGTGGGGCAGAAGTAAGTCCCTTGTACTGTGGCCACTTCTGGCCTATTGTACCAGCCCCAGATGACTGGTGAGGGTGATTGTGGAGCAATTGGTGGAATGAAGATTGGTAGGGGAAACCAAAGTATTCAGAGAAAACCTGCCCCAGCGCCACTTTGTCCACCACAAATCCCACTTGACCAGACCCGGGATCGAACCCGGGCTGCCGCAGTGGGAAGCCAGTGACTAACTGCTTGAGCTAAGGAGCATCCCTTAGCTAGCTAGCTAGCTAGTTAGTTAGTTTGCAGGATTTGAAGTTCTGGCACCAGTGGTTATGAAGAGATATCTTCCGGGATATAATGCCTGCTTCACACTGATTTATTACTTGGCTTATTCTTTGACCCTGATGCTAGAGGTCATATGTTCGCCTGAAACATCGGTCAACTCTAAAAACGGATTACACAACATTACATCCCAGAGGACAGAACTCTTCCTAATTTGCCTGCACTGTTCTGAATGTACTCTAAAGTACAAATGAAATTAAGTTCAAAAAAATGGCACTGGTAACAAATGCCAAAATAAAATAGGAATACAATACACTGCCCACAGCAGAAAACTATATTTATCCTTACTGACCCAGAAGTCCTACCACAAGTGACAGCCATATTCTACAACATGTGAATTATATACCAGACTGAAGCACATTAGGAATCATTTACCTGTTTGTGCTGTTCAAAGATCTGCACAGACTGTTGGCACGAGGTGTTGGGAGTGATGGGATGAAGCTGTGGGTCCAGCATGAGGTAAACATTGTCCAGTTCTTCGTGGTGAGTGCTGCCGCCTATACAGACATACAACACAAATGCAGTCGGTACATTTTCATTGTGAAGGTTTAGTCTTCTGGGATATGACACTGTGATGTCTCAAAAGTGAACACCAAACATTTTGGAAAAAACATGATGCCTCGATCTTTGGAATCAAAATGATTATGATAAAGATGCATCTAGGTTATGCAGGCAGGATGATATGGAATGTGGTTACTCTGTGCTGGGGGATGGGAAGCGAGATGACTCTTCCACTGACTCTGCTTGCTTCTAACTGGTTGTTTGCTTGCATAACTCTTCAACCCTGGAGATTCTTCTGAGACTGAAGTGAAATTTTACCTCTTCTTAAAAATTAATTTCTTATGAATACATTCGAAAGCCTGACATAAAAATATTCCAAGTTGTTACAAGGGTGATGTTAGAAAGCTCAGTCACAATGTAATGCAATATACAACAGCACTGTATACTTACATCCATAAGGTCTACAATCCCACATTGTTTTACTATAATCCTTTATGCTGCTTTTATTTCAAGTAACCTAGGATATTCTTTCAAGTTTCCAAAAAGAAACACCTCACATATGTAAAGTCACCAACCAGTTACTTATGTTGCAGATTAACTGTTATACAAATGAACAAATCACAAATAAAGTGTCCAGAAAAATAAAATACTTCTAAGTAACATGAATTAAATCCCAGAGAAATTTCTGAACACCACTCTACATGTTACAACTCCTAAACGGCAAGTCTGTGATAAATATGATAGAGATTAAAAATGTTTTCATAAGCCAGCACAGTTTAGTATTTAATACACTATTATTTTGTCATCTGCACAACATTTATATACTGAATATCAGTGATAACTGTTTCATTTCTTAAAATCATGACATATTTTAATCAAGTACCGACCATCAACACCAGAAATATTTATGAATAAAAACAGATTAGTAAATATGCATTGTATTGGAAGTTTCATCCAAATTTCAGTGAGTTATTATGAATGTGGATTCAACTTCCAATGCAATGCAAATTCACAAATCTGTTCTAATTTGGAAAGATCACACCTGTTGATAGCCAGTATTTGATCAAAACATATTGTGATTTTAAGTAATAAAACAGTTACTTGGTTATCACTCATGCACACTACAAATGATGTCGACAGCAAATACGATAACAGTATATTCAAACACAGAAAGCTACTATGGCATCACTTGGGGTACAGGCTCCACACTATCAGAAATACCATTTCAAACCATGTCACACAGAAAGAAGGTAAAGCTATCCCTGTAACAGGCCGTCAAGGCCCACAGGGTTTTGAGGTGGGGCTCCTACATTTTCTCTAGATAATCGGCTCACAGATGGCGGCCACCCTTTACCACCAGGAAGATTCCTGGTACTCGTCTATGTTAGAGGTTGAGTTGAAACCAGGGCCATAGTGCAGCTGGAAGGATCAGGTAAATTGAAAAAAATCCAGCAAATCGGGACTCGAACCCACAACCTTCATGCTTGTGGCATAGTGCCTCAACCAGCTACACTACCACATGCCCTGACAAAAAGATGGAAGCCAACAAAAATGTTTACTTTTGGCCATGTCCTCCATATTGAGTTGGCAAAGTATTTAATTTGTAACATCAGCCATATTATAAAACTGTTTACAAAAAAACTTGTATTGTAAACAATGTGACATATACATACAATATAAGGAGACAGTTTACACTTGGAAGCATGTTTTGGGAAAGGATTCAGAATTCTGACAATTTTATTGAGGGCCATTAAAGAAATGTATGATGAAATTCTTTTGTCATATTTGACAAAACGTTATGTGATTAACAAGGAAAATTCTTAAGACACAGTATTAATATAAACATGGAAATATTAAAGAAGCTAAATAAAATGTCACTGTCTCTCCACACCACACTGCCATCTGCTAAACTCTCAATTACTGAACTCTCACAATCATCTTTCCACCTCATTTGATACAATATGACCTCTCCAGTTAATGAGAATTATTATACAACCTAAGAATCAATCTGTCACTTATCCGTAACAGCTTCTAAGAGNCCAAACATTTTTCTTTCTTGTAAGAAAAAAAAAAAAAAAAATCACATCCATATTATTTACCATGCATATAATTATTTATTTTCTTGTGTGGTCATTCATTAAGCCATAATCAAGTAAGATAAATATCAGACTGAAAAAGATGAAGACAGTATTCCCATCATTTGGCAGAAGAATAAACTGACAAAGGTACAAACATCTATCATATCAAAGGCAATTTTCTTGGATTGAAAGGTCTCCCAGTAAAATCTGATGAAAAGCTGTTTCACTATAACAATACTATCTGTGCAGGAAATAAATGAAAAGTGATATGTTTAGTGAATTATGTAATTTATTTCAAGTTTATAAGCTAACCTCACAGACGGAATTCCATTCAATGTATTTTATTAACATTTTCCATCCCTAGCACAGCAGAACAGCACAATTAAATGTCGTGTCATGGTATACACACTAAAACAAGGTGTAATGAGGGTATTCATATTAACCCTCTGAGGTACTAAATTAATCTACACAATATTTAAAGACTCATTTTCTACCACACAGAGAACACACTGCACCTCTAGTACAGAGACAAATCAGTGCTGTTTAGGGAAATAATTAAGGTTTATTCTAAGAATCATATGAAACTGACAAATACACTCCGCAAGAAAAGCTTAGTGTTTTTTTTTTATAAAGTAGGTGATACACAATATAACGACCACTTTGCTTTAAAGGGTTAGCTGGTATGATAGCTCAGGAAACAGAAAATTTAAATACCTTAATTGGCATAATGATGGATTAAATAAAGTTCCATGATACAGTTCAGGCCGTTTATGCAGTTAGAACCCTAAAACAAATCATAATCATGTCCCATGCAACTTCAATATTAATCCACCTAGTAATAAACTTTACGTTAAAAATCTTTGAATATAATAACAAGAAAAACGTTCCATCATATGACAAAACTTACATGTGCTACTGACAAGGAGCCAACTACACTGCACAACATTGCAACTATCACACATAATTATGTGTGAGGTCAAAGGTCAAAGCACCACCACCACAAGAAGAAGAAGAAGACAACACTGAGGGCAAGATACACAACGTGTGAAGCACTAGGAAGGAAGGCAGTGAACTGGCATGGGAACAGCCAACACAACCCCCCCCCCCCAAGCTGCTATATCAAGGATGGTGACTCACAACAACAGCAGATGCTAAAAATGGTTCCATACAACAAGGCAAGGCAAGGCAAGGCATGGCAAGGCAAGGCAAGGAAGTCCTCTGTCAGCAAAGTCTCTGTCCATGAATTGCCATTTTCTATCCCCCACCAGACCCAGCCAAGGAGCACATTTCTTATGGGAATACAGATAAAGCTTACTTCTACACAAAAATCTGTCACACTGGCTGTTAAGTGCCACATTTCCAAACCTCAAATTAGGATACTTTAAACTTAAGATGTTAAATCTGTCTTCTCACATACCATAAAAGAAACACATATGAGATTTGACAAATGAACAGTGTTAAAGGACTGAATTGTTTCCTTCTATGATTTTCTTATAATATACAGGCTAAATCAGTGTTTCCCAAGCCTTTTCAGCTCTGACCCTCATTCAATCACAAGAGCACCACTGATCCAAGCTAAAACTTCTGCACATGTCTAGCTTAAAGCAATGAATAAAGAGTGTAGCTAAAATATATGTATATTTCTAACTTAAAACAGAACAAAAAGCCTAGCTAAAACATCTGGACATTTCCAGCATAAAAAAACAGAATAAAAAATTACAATTCCCTGGAAAATTTCCTAAGGTTCCCAGAATTCTCGTTTGTGCTACATCACATGGGGATTCACTTGCCTAGTCAATGCAAGACTAAAGTATTACAGAAATGGCTTCTTTATTATATGATAGATACTCTGGTTGCAGGTGGAAGAGACAAGGAATTTCTTGACCAGTCACTATTAAGCCTTAAGTAAACCCCTGTATCATGATGTCCTCAAATTAGTTAATATTGCTGCAGCAAATACACAGGTCACTGAATAATGTCAGCTGTTATGATGATTACAAACAACAAACTTGGAAGGAAGCAGTCATAACATATTTTGAAATCCTGCCATGCACCTACAAGGACTACCAGCATGATCCAGTTTATATTCTCACAGCCTATTTCACTCAGATCAATTTTAATATTTAATTATCCTCTCCTCCAAGCCTAATTGCCCTAATTGATGTTTTCCATCCAAAGTACTATATTGTAACATGCATTTTATTCCCACAACCACGTTCCATGTTTTGACCACTTCATATGGTTATGGGCTAATATCAGACAGAAGATCAAAGGGATGACAGAATGTTTCACTCGCCCTATGTGAACATAAACTGTGTTTAGAAACAGACTTCTCATAAGGGTACATGACTTCAAGAAAACTGAAGAGAATGGAAAAATATATTGACATAAAAACTACTTTCTACATAGCCTTTGGTACCAAGGCCACTTGAAAATGTGTACTTAGGCCTTCAAGTGCGTGGTACAGGTGCCCAATATGATCAATATTAAATACTTGGCTAATAAATTTTAGAAATAACTTCAACACAAAATTATTTATAAGTTACTTATAATGCAAAGTATGAAATTCAGAACTAAAACATGAAAGTCATCAAACACATGTATCCAGAACAGAAGTATTATCTGTTATTAGGTGGGCAAAATGAGATATATGCAGTATATATTCACAGTATATATGAAGTGTTTCAAAATATATAATTTATACTTACTTATGATAACTAAAATGGTGTCAAGTATTTGAGACCAATGTTTTCAAATTGTTACAGACAGAAGTCAGTGGGGACGATACCCTTTCATCCATCTCACACTCACACAGTGGATGTAACCTTGCTTGAGCTGGCAATGCAACAAATCCATTTCTTTTTTGGCACACCTGCAACTACATTTAAATTTCTTGCTTCAGCAAGAACATAACCACA